AGACATGACAACAATTTTTGCTCCAGTGGAAAGTGTCATCACAATTCTCAATACTTTGTATATATCCAGATATTAAGTGGAAAGGGTACTTACAAGTTTACATAGCTGAAGATTGACGTAGAAATGAAGAAATGCTTTGGGAAAGATCTGGTTGATTCTAGTTCAGTTTGTTTATGTCTCACAAGTAGATTACTGACTGGTGACAACAGGAAGTGATAGGAAACTCCCTCATGTCATGTTATCAGTCACACTGGCTAAACATTTCAGTGGGTTAAAATCTTGGGCGTGTATACAGAGTTATAGACCTGGTGCACATGCAGGTTAACGCAGGTAAAATTGGAGCTGTGCAGGGTATTTCTGATGCCTACTAGTACTTGCGCCTAACCTGTACTGGTCCATGTACTTGGTATATGCAGGTTAGTACAGGTAAAATTGAAGCTGTGCAGGTATTTCTGATGTCTACCTGCACCTAACATACATGTACTGGGTTTATATACAAATGTAGGAAGGTGTATGTAGATTTTTATTTGCTGTTACCACCTTTGAAGTATAGAAGAAATGATGGCAATGGTTTCCGAACAGTTTTAGTATGATCCACACTTCCTAAATTCTGATTGGTGAAGGTAAAATTTGTCTAGTGCAGACAATTGTGAATTGTGGATAAAATACTTTGAGAACTGTTTTATGTTCTAGACCAAGCATTTTCTTTCAGGTTTACTTTTAGTGCTCATGCCTTGAAGGTGAATTTATCCCTACTGCTATCAGCAGATAGTAAAGGGGCTCAGTACTTAATTGGTTGTGGGCGGGAAAGCTGGCTTATCCAGAATGTTTCAATTACCATCTGTTTGAGCTATGGACAAAGACATCTCAGTCAAATTAATTACCCAGAACAATTGATCGGTATCAGGGATCCTTGCTTGGTCATAAAAGTTTGATGGGGAAGAAAAGCTTGCTCTGAAACTTATCATCCCAACACTTCATTTTGTATTTAACGTTATTTTTGATATGTTGTATACATACATGCATCTTTCATAGTTGTGGAAATCTGAAAAGATGATATTTCCTGTTGAAATTTCCATGTTGTAATCAACATTTATGTAGTCATAATTAGAATCAGCCAATAATTTTACCATCACATAAGATGTGCCTAAAACAGGCATGTCATAAATGTGTCATAATTTGTATGTAATTCGTAATTTAACAAACTTTGTATAACTAAGAGTCAATGATACATTTTTTTTGTCTTATGACAAGTGTCACGCTTAACTTGAAATTCAAGCGTCTTCCACTGAAAGTTTGTGTATGTTTTGTTTTTCTATTGTCAGAAGTCAGGAATGTTTGTAGTTCGGTAAATTTGTTTAGGCTAAACAAATTGTCCTGACGCCAACAGGTACTGACTCAACCACCCAAATTATTGGTCATAGTTAGGTCATGTATATAATTAGTCTGACTGTAAGAAATGAAAAAAATTGAAATATGTGATAGTCCTGTAAGAATACTATAATTCACTATTTTTTGCGGTACTTTTACGTCTGTACTGCAAACTTATCATTACCTTAAATGATTTGCTGACTTTTTTTGCTGCACCTGCCGCCACCATGAACATATATCTCCAGGAACATGTCCATTTTTCTCAGTCAGAATGCAAACTTTTGCTACCACGAACATTAAATGACTTACAGTATTAGAACTTTGACAATCATGCTTTTTCACATGTTGTAATATAACTTCAGCAAAACATTGGTATTTGGTTATTTTCTTAAGTAATTTTTTTTGTACTTCAAAACTCATAATGCCTTTCTGTACAGTGTCAAAACAATTGCGTCCTGCTTTTGATAAATACACAAAACACGTGAATATTATGGAGGTTTTGGCTCTTTGTCTGGGAACATTAAACTGTCACACCTGTTGCCAGAATGGTGCAAAATGAGCCACGTCCTTATATGGTATTACACAGGAAGTGATGCGTGGTGCTGGTGGGCCCCTTACAGGATAAAAGGGGAGTATTTTGACTGGCACACGTTTGTGTTGGGTTTCAGGAGAGGTCAGGACAAGGTTCCTGGTTGCATAGGTCAAAATACAGCTGGAAGTTGTGTCCTAGAACATGTCCTTGAGTACACTATAACATTGGAAGGACAAGCAAAAGGTTGTGTTCCGTTTAAAGGTGGGTCTTTTGAGATAATGAGTAGAAACGTTTCATGTCTACTGTGTACTAAGCTCGTTCAAGACTCGAAACAATGCGTGGTTGCCATATTTTCCTTACATCTATTGTCTTTATGACTTGTGCTTTTTAATTCTTTGCCTCCTAATTTTTATTTACTATAAGACAAGTGCTAGTGCAGTATTGGGCGACTATAATTTTATCCATTTGATGATAGATTTTATAAACGTCAAAATTTACTTTCTGACCTTTACAAGAATGTGTGGGCTGACATCTCAATGTGTGTGACTAACGGTTATTGTACAGATATACTATTGTGAGTGGGAAAAATCTATAACCATTTATTGACATTATGTATCATGAAGTGTAAATTTACTGAAATGCATAATATGATTTTCAACAATATTTTATATGTCGAATTTGGTCAGTTGAATTGTTTTAATGCAAAGTTTTTTTGTTCAAGTTGTGTAATATGCATAGAACACTGATACTTTACATTACATCACAAGAAATGTATATACTGAAAATGTACAGAAATTTCTTGGGTGAAAAGAAATGCTATGGCTACATATATTATTTTTACACTGCGTTGGCCGAGTTTCTTCTTTCGTTTGTCCATTGTCCAGTCATAGCAGGTGAAGCAAGATTCCTCCCGAGGAAAAGGGTTGTCTTGTTGGTTTCCCAGCTGTTTGCATAGTTACCCTGTGAGTAATAGCTGTAAGCTCTGCAGCACTTAGGCTAATGCTGACTACTGCTCGTCCCCAATTTCATGGCACACGCAATTAAATACAGCGTTTCTTTCCATGTATTGCATGGTAGATTTTAATCTTGAACAAGTCGTAAATTAACGTAATCATAGTATTCATATGTTTATCTATATGAATCTTTCTTGATCTGATATAATTTTTACATTCAGGATTTATTGTCAAATTGTAGAATTTCATGTTTGAAATGCTCAGAATGGTACCATGCGTATTTCACATTGTATTTGTGCTGAAATGTACAATTAGAACTATGTTACGGATACAGGTACCTTTGCCTGTTCACTGTTCTTCAAACAAATAGTTGACTTGATAGTGCCTAATTGTAATTGGCATGTTACAGGGTTGGACAAGTTTTCAAAAATCCACTTGCCCTATTGGGCAAGTACATGGACATCTCCACTTGCCCGAACCAACTTTTCACTTGCCCAAAATAAACGACATTTTTATATGCATTTTCACTACCAGCAAGAAAACTATTTTCATTTTAGAGTTATCAAAATAAGGTGGTTTGAGACTTAATATAATATCATTATGGCCAAATCATGAGTAATTTTGCTCCAAATACCATAGCGGGTATACTTCGCATCCCAAAAATTTACTTTCCCAATCGGGCAAGTACAGGGGGATATTCACTTGCCCGAACAGTACTTTTACTTGCCCTGGGCAAGTGGGCAATGGGACTTGTCCAACCCTGTGTTAGACAAGGTGGCATTGTTGCTGACCAGGTATGGTGGTGGGAAAATACAGGACGGTTAGGTCTCTTAAAAATACGGCGAGGGGGAAATTTTCGTATGTAAATGTCTATGATAATATTCCAGTCACTATGAAACAGTATGATAACAGCATATGCTATGTTGCTTTTGTTAGACTATGGGAAAATCGCAAAGAGGTAGATGTATATTATACCTGTATATGATTAGCAACAAAGAAGGTCTTTGCAACAATATGGAGGGTTGCTAATATTTGTACTTTGCCTTGCATTGTATTGTATTCCTGGGTGCTAACCGAAATAGGGAACACATTTTAAAAGTCCTAGCTTTCGAGGGAACAGTGCTTGGTGACCTTTCAGCATTTGTGCAATAACAAACTTTTGAAATCAGGTCATACTGTTAATGATAAACTTGCTCTGTGTTTGACTCACTCAGCTAACTGGAACGCTTTGACCCTTAAACAATACAATGATGTCATAACGGGTGTTGGCATTGCTTGTCTCGATAGTGAAGCATATTTACATTGTGACGTAACCCTTTCTAGCTGCTTATCTGTCCTTCTAACTGGCCTGTGCTGGAAAAGGTTGTTACATTCTACAGTTGTGTGTCTACTGGTAGCATGTACACACAATCACCTAGCCGGTTTTAGATTTGGGACACGTAACTTTGAACTTTGAACCTCTTGACGTGGGGCCGGGTTTGTTTGCAGGCGTTACCTTTCCGGGCCAGATTATAGCTTCACGTCATGAATTCAAACAGTGAGCACCATTGTCGTCGGTTGCGTTACTTGCGGAATTTAAAAGGGATTTTGTACAACAGTCCAGTTGGAACTATCAGGTCAGGTTACTGTGCTCTGTTTCCAGTGCGGAATTTTTGGGAAGGGAGAAAGTGAAGTCTTGAATTACCTCTCTTCGTCTGAAGCGTCTACTTCATTGACCAGGAGAAAATCTCGAAAAGTAGGACTGCAGTTGACATATGTATGCAGCTGTACATATACAGCATAAGAAGTGCTAGTTGTATAGGACCTATCAATGTGATACTATCATTCGTTTTTGGATATTACTTATTCATAGTTTTACATTTAAACAGGAAATGTTATGCTTATACAATGTGTGTACGTAATTTTTAATTGCTGCTTCTAATTTGTAGCCATGACCCTATTTTGACTCGATGACAATTTTACATATGTCTGTCTACAAGTTTTGAAATATGCTGTTTGTATCATTTTCTCCAATATGAGCCTTAATCAACTATAATGAGTCTTTAATGAATTCTTGCTATTTTGTATGTTATAGTTGGTCAACATAAATTTTATTAAAATAAAGTATGTAGTCTAAATGTTGTTCTTTTTATATTTCTTCATAGGAACAACTGCAACTGTCCTAGTATGGATGTCCAACCTTGTTACCATCAGTAAAGCTGATGCCACTGGTCTACAGCAAGATACCCACCTGCACATCATGTGACAGCTTTCCTGCACATCACTACAAGTAGCCAATAGAATCCTAGCTGCCCAAGTCATCCACCAACCACCGAAGAGATTTGCGTGAACATCAGTATTATAATATAAGTCGTATCTGCTGCTATAGGATTATCGACAAACTCGAAGAAAATGGCGAAGACCAAGGAAATGCGGACTTTTAACATCAGCGTCGTCGGACTTTCCGGAACAGAGAGGGACAAGGGAGCGCAAGGAGTGGGGAAGTCGTGTTTATGCAACCGTTTTGTACGCCCGCTGGCAGACAACTACTTCCACGAACATATCTCGGTGCTGAGTCAGAGCGATTTCGGCGGCCGCGTTGTCAATAACGACCACTTCCTCTACTGGGGAGAGGTGACAAAGACTTGGGACGAAGGACAGGACTTCACATTTCATGTCGTGGAACAGACAGAATTTATCGATGACACGTCATTCCAGACTTTAAGGACCTCCACCTTCATGCCGTACATCAAGCGAGCGGCTGTGGCAAAGGTGGTGTCCGCAGAGAAACTCATGTACATTTGTAAGGATCAGTTAGGTGGGTCTGCATTGCAAACATTCTCTATTTATTCTCAGGTTCTTTAGCCAGCACCCATTTTTCTGTCAATTGCAGCATCTTTGTAGCGTTTGATGGAAAAAATTTCATACCATTCTGTCAAACTTGACGGACAAAACTGACACAAAAAGACAGGTAAAGGGTGAAGGCCAAAGGCTGTAAAAACTTCCTTTCCAAGTGTCTAGAAAAGGAGATGAATTTATGCTATTCAGTAATTTTTTCTCTCATTGATGACTTTGTTAGTCAAACTGTTCTTAAACTGAAGCTAATTTTGAAGCTTAAATTTGGCTAACGTTGGAAGTTCAGGACCTGTGAAGTGGCAGTCTTTATTGTATCCAGTTATGATTACAGAAATTATCGGCAAAATGTCAGAGGTATGGTTCACTCACCATGCCCTTTTCAATTCCTCGAAGTTTATGACCTTTTTTTTCTTACAATCTTTTTTGAATGGCACTTTAGAATACTAATATTTTAATAGGAAAGCTGTTTGGGCCCCATTTGAATTCATGACTAGCAAAATTTCACAGTCTGAGGAAAATGGACAATGTTCACGGAACTTAAACATAAACGTAAACCTATGAAAATATCTTGGTCCAGTGGTGCGCCCACAAAAAAAACTTGGTGCACAGCTCCAAATTTGGGTGCACTTAGATGCACATGCACCCAGTATTTTGAGCCCTGAAAAGTGACAGTGAAAACAGTGAACATTAAAGTGCAGTGAAAAAATTGGAATAATTACGTATTCTTTTTCTCCTAGGTATTGAACAGGACTTTGAACAGAAGACAATGCCAGAAGGGAAGCTGAACATCGATGGATTTATCCTTGTCTGCGACGTGAGTCTGGTCCAGAATCGGCCACAGGAAGACCAAATGCGCTTCCTCCAGAACTGCTTCACAAACCTAGCAAAAACCAAGAAGCCCGCCCTTCTAGTAGCAACCAAATGCGACGACGCTGTGGACCAGTATTTGAGAGAGGCGCGGGACTTTGCGTCCAATCGGAGAGTCGGCATCCCCCTCGTCGAGACGTCAGCGCACGAGAATGTGAACGTGGACCTGGCGTTCGTCGTGCTAGCGCAAATGATCGACAAGTCCAGAGGTCAGAGATCATTTGTTATCAAAATTGGGTAAAACAAGTGTTGGCTATGTCCAGAACTATTGTATACTTTAAAGTCTTCATCTATAAAACAAATTCTACTGTGGATTTCAAAGTATTGTATTGGATTCATAGATTTTAAAGTCCTCATCTATAAAAAGAAATCTGCTATAATAGATTTCGAAGTATTATATTGGATCCATTATATCCAACACACGAAGAATTTCTCTCACCTGGATCTTTCGACCAGTTCCTCTTGTCTTCCTCAGTAGACTGACCCAGTGAAGCTTGTCACGTGTTGACGACACACTTCAGAGAAACCACGTGACAAGCCTCACTGGGTCAGTCTACTGAGGAAGACCAGAGTGACTGGTCAAAAACTCTAGGTGAGAAAACTTTGTGTTGGATCTCAAGTCTTAACACTTTAAACTTTTCTTCTGTAGGGAAGTCTAAGATCATCCCTTTCCATGAAGCGGCGCTGAGACGTAAGGAGGTACTGGACGTGGCGACAGAGGCTTACCAGAACCTGGTGGTACGGACAGTACGAGACTACCACGACACATGGAACTCTGTCAGCAAGAAACTGGAGAGAGAACCAGACTTCCAGCACTACTGCGACTTACTGGGGAAGGTGCAAATATTTTTAAATTTCTATTCCAACATTTAATACAACACATGGCAACGGCATACTCAAGTTTTTTTCCAACTTATTGTTATGCTGTCATCAACGCAGGCAAACGCGTGAACGGACAACAGATACTCATTTTCACCCGAGTAAAGTTAGGAAATTAATATAAAGTGCGTTTCCCAAGGGCACAACAAGATAAGTGGCAATGCAGGATTCAAACTCGGGACCTCTTTGTTCCGAGAAAAGAAATGGCGTCTGTGTGGTGTAGTGTTCTAATTCCTTGATGTATTTCTTGGAGTGTGAGAGAATCCTTTTGGGCTAAAAAATTCCCATTATGTGTTGTTTACATGGTGTTGTTCTTGTTGTTGTTTGTCTTAGATGTCAGCTAAGAAGCTGTTCAGACGACACATCAAGAAGTTGAAGGAGGAACATCAGGCCAGGAAGCAAGTGGAGTACCTGAGTCAGCTGCCACGAGCCCTGGACGCACTCGCTCCAAGTCTAGACCTCATCTTAGACAGGTCAGCATTTTTGCCTTGTTTTAACTGTAATTTCCAACTTGGGATTGGACTTATCCAAATTTTCAACTGTACAACTCCAGTCTTTGTCAAGGCATGAGTGTCCTAGCAGCTATTTTTGGTACTGCAGCAATTGTTGGTACTGATATTGTATTATCTTTTTATCACATTGTCTTCCTTGTACTCATCAAGTCTAGGAAAAAAATGTTATGTTTCCTGTTTCAGTCTTTAAAAATTTAGGGTCGGTAGGTAGGGGTATCTTTTTTCTTTCTTTTTTTATTAGACTTTAGCAATCTCTAGTGATACAATGTATACAATACAGTTTAACGAAGAAAAACTTCCATGTGGACACTTTCATTTTCAATGTCAATGTTGGAAAACCAATTGTACAACATTTCATTAATTAGGTATCAGATGATGGAGCTAGAAAAGGTCAATCAGCTCGAAATATAATATGTCCCTTGCAGTGGTCCACCCTAGAAAAAGGCTAGGGTCAGCAGTTTTTTATAGGGTCAGTCAGGAAACACAACATTTTTTTTCTAGACCTCATCAATTTGTATGAACATACTAGTAGATAAAATGTATACATTCATGAGTGTTTCTTTTGAAATTCACACTTCTCCTTTTCCTCTGTTCTTGCAGGACTTGGCCGAGTGTACAGAACATCCTCCAGAGACAGGACCAGTTTGAGGAGTGGTTTGTTGTCCTGCCGGACGACATGCCCTGGCGGGAGAGTGACCACGTGGACAACCTGGTGGACAAGAGAATACCCTTCGACCTGCTGGAGATGCCCGAGGCTGAAACTGTCTTTAAGAACCACGTCAACAAACTACAAGCTGCGCAGAAGAAGGAAAGGTATCAAAAGTCTTACAGGCATTCAGTGAGATTTCAGGGCGGCAGAACAAAAAACATTCTGGATAAGGAAATCTGTCTGATATGGGCATTTACTGACATTTCTTACTAATCTTAGCATTTTTGTCATCATTTTATTCTTCAAGCATTTGAAATAGCCAAAAACAATACTACATGTACCTCCTATAGTGCTTGTACAGTATAGAAATGGAGATGGGCACTGCCCTATATGCCACATGTGTGGGTCTAAGCCACCAGTATACAGGTGTAGATTTAGTGCTGCCAGGCATTTTCAATGTACTAAATTAATGTAGCCATAGTCTTTTGTATCCACCCTTTTAAGAATTTCTTTTCCATCTATTTTCTCTCTGTGTGGCAAGTCAATAATGTACAATCCTGGCATGATAGTAATCCCTGTTGTCTTGTTTGTTTGTTTTTCCAGAATGAAGCATGAGTTCAGGAAGTTACTGGAACACACAGGACATGTTTTACCTGGGAAGCCTTGGGAAGATGTGCACATATTCCTTATGGAGGAAGAGAGCTACCAGGTAATTTTCTTGTAATTTGTAAAAATTTGGGTCAAGTCAAGTCAAGTCAAGTGAAGAAATTCATGTAGGTGTAAAGTCCCACCTGCAATCCAAGGAGCTGGACAGACAACGCAAGAGACACGAACAGTGCCTATCCACGGCATTCTTGTGTGAAAACTGTGGCAAGTACTGCAGAAGTAATGCTGGTTTGGCGGCACACCGCCGCACCCATCGTACTTGATTGGAGCAGATCGTCCGTCAGGACGACAAGACTGATGATGAAAGTGCCTTCCCCAAGCCCCAATTTTACCTGTGCATATGCACCCAGTATTTGGAGTCCTGGATTGTTATTCTCACTAGAGCTGTGTATAAACATGTAATCCTTTATTACCGGTACTGTACCTAAATAATTTCACACTAATTATATGCCTATTTAGTAACCTAAAATGTGTAAATAGCCGTTCCCCCATGGGTCTCAAAGTAGGGACAGTGTACCCGTACCTGTACCTATAATTTGTTTAGGTACACAGGTCTAATTCTCGCCATGCTTCTGTCCTTAGGAACTGACGGAGGGTGAAAAGATCGACATCTACAGTTGTCACCAGCGGGAGTTGATCGATCGGGCGCGGGAAGACTTCCAGGAGCTCCTGTTCGAGAGAGCCGACCTGTTCGCACGCCTCGATCCCCACGAACAGATTTCCCACCAAGACTTGGTCGACATCAAGGAAGCATTGCAGGATGAATCCAGGTAAATATTGTGTCATCATATTTTTCCCTAGGCCTTAAGTGTTTGTTCTGTTTGTATCAAGTTGTTTTGATTCTATCGCCACGACACACCTTTGCCCACGCTGCCAAAAGGGTTACAACTTCACAGAAATTTGTATCCTATGGAGTCTTGTTGAGATTAAAATCATGCTTTTTTTTCACCTGTAGATACCAGGCCCTAGCCAGACTAGACAATGAGAGGGATGTGTTGTTACTGAAGCACATCGGCTTCATCACATGTCCCTCCAAGGAGACCTGTCTCAGTGGACCCAACTGTATGGAGAATTTGTTGCAGAATGCTGTGGACACTGCTGTACACAGGTCGGTTTTCTTTGTTTATTTTGAGCTTTTCACTAGTTTGTTTATTCATGAAATATTCAAGTGGTATTGTGCATAGCACTTGGTCAGAATGTCTCGTTTAAAATGTTTTGTAGGAAAAGATATTGTCTGTAATGGGTAAAATTCTAATAAAAACATGCCTTTCAATGCAAAATGAGCCAAAATTTGGTGTCCCTTAAACCAAAAAATGCAACAACATCAATTCCAATGTCAAATTTTCGAAAGCAGCACATGTGGCTCAGACAAAATATGTTCGAATTATTCGGTGGAACATTTGGATGCCCATGTGATAACCTGGCTATACTGCTAGTTATCACACGGGCCGGAATTAAAATTAACACCCATAGTGTATGTTATCGTGGCCCAGGTATGACATAAAAGTTAGTATATGTGCCAATAAACAAGTAGTGTCAGGAAAAAACGTTGTGTTTTTGTCTTCAGACCGACATCTTGGAACAGACACAGCCAGTGGATGTTTGACCCCAACGCTTCACAACTCAACATAGTCATACTGGGCGCAGACGGACTGGCAGATGAACTAGCTAATGAGATAAAGGTAACTTGTGCCTTACTCAGCTCTTAGATTCAAAGTCTTAGAATTATATGATAATCATATTCTTTGATTCTTACATGAAAGCATGCATGTTACCTTCCTTTCTTTTATTGCAGTTCTTCTAAAGTTATATATTTCAGACTTCAACATTTCAAGCACTGATGTGAAATTTTATGGTTCATAACTGACATCAGTGTTAACATTCGCACCAATTTTTTGCCTGATTTTGATGATAAGACTTTATTCCAATGGCCACAGTTTGTAGTTTAGTGCCCACATGTATTATAAAGAGAGAAACATAGATCTACAATAGCAAAAAGTGTATTCACTATTAGTGTTTTACATGCATTTAGCCCTTTCAGGAGTGAGACTATGTTTTAAATAGGCCAATGAAAAGCGGCCTACAGGCCAATTTGAGCTTTTTACAAATAAAGAATGGTTCAAACAAACAAACATTTTCTTGACTTTACAGTTGCAGTGTAATGAAGAAGAGTACACCCTGGATGGGAACATCTACAGTCTGGAGCTCAGACCTATAGACGGAGACGTGACCCAGCCCATGTCATCCTTCAAAACACCCAAGTTCACTCCAAATGGTACGTTCCACATTACAACCATTTCAGGCTAAGTATGATAGAGAATGGAACTTTGATATTCAATCATGCACCAACATGATGGAATTATTTACAGAAGCATGCAGGTCTCTTGGCTGCTCTTTTCTTAGAAAATCAGCTTATAGTTCTGGTAATGCTGTGAATAAATGCATTTTGAAGCAGCCAGCAAGCAACCTCTTAATACTAAGACTTTAATATTTCTTAAAGCAACTGTTGACCTCAAATACAATTTGAGTTAACGTTCATAACTGTCTGTCTTATGTTTTATCATATTGCTTTATCCCTGACATTTCTTTGCTTTTTGGGAAGATAGCTTTCTTTCTTATTTTGGGTTTCTTTGCTGTCTTGCATGACACAGTTTGTTATTGTTGTGTTCTACCAACAGCTACATGTAGACGACATGCCTGTCCCACTGTGTGCCACGACTGTTAGTAGTCTTGATCTTTACTGTCATACCAGTACCACAGATAAAGTTGTTGTTAAACACATTTAGTACTGAAAATTCATTAACTTTTGCAGTGATTTTATTTTTCGATAGGAAAAGTTTTTCGCTGTGTTTTAACTGCTTTCCCATTTTGTAGTACAGTAGCCGTATGAGGAAAACATATTTGTGGGGTTATTACTTCAAACTGGAAAATCAAATCACTGCAAAAGTTTTAAGATGGAGAATAGTTATAATAACTGGTCATAAGTTGTCCCGTTAACCTGCTGAAGTTTATCTACCTCATCTCAGAATCTGTCTCACTGACACTGCTCCTGTAGTTTTGCACTGTCACTACAGCCAATGAAGTCTTAACAGCACTATGAATATAAGCCAAAGCCTAAACCTCTGCTTGGAGAGTAGCTAAAACGTTATTTTTGCAGGTTGCATCTGTGTGTATGACTCGGTGGAGTCGCTGAAGTACGCCCAGTCCAGCCTGGAGCAGACCGTCATCAGATCAGGAACCCTGTCCATCGACAAGAAGGAGCGCGCTCCATTCCAGGGCCTGCCGTGTGCCGTCATCCTGGCTAGAAACTCCGCAAATACCGACAAGGACTCGTCCTACCTGCGCGAGGAGGGCCAGCATTTGGCAGAAAGGTTCATATTTCAGTTGTATATTATATGAAAGTTTATTGCAAATACTTGCCCGAGGGCTAATTGCAGTATTATATTATCATATAGCCGGGTGATGTCGACCAATAGGAAGCCTCCATTTCCCATTAGGGTTAGCATTTGTTATTGTAGTAGATAGCAAAGACATGGATAGTTGTTTCTCCATAACTTGTTTGTTGTCAATAATTTTCTTATGATGATAAATATAGAATACATAAAAGCACGTTGTGGAATTTTTACTGATTACTGGAAAAGTGACTAAGTCTTGAGTGAAAGGTTCTTGTCAACTTCTTTATTTTTCGCCATCTTCTTTTGAGCCATTTTCCACATGTAATGAGAATGTAAAATCTCACTTTCCTACTATGTTCTCCAGGCTACAATGTCCATTTATCGATGTCTCAAGTTCGGAGTTCTTTCCAAACCGGAAGTTTCAGGAGGCCCAGATCCAGCAGGCCATGCGAGCCCTCGTGGAGAGTTTCAGACATCGCGAGGGCTGGATCGGGTCCCAGAGCATCGAACAACTCATGGAACCTGACATCAAGTTAGTTATGGATTAAATATAAGTGTCCTTATGCAGGTTTCACTTTGTTGAACAGTATTGTATGAGTTGGATCACTAGATACTGCCAAAGTCTAATATAAAGAATAAAGAAAAAAAAGATAATCCCTACCTACCAGCCCTAAGATTTTCAGGACTGAAACAGAAAACACAACATTTTTTTCCTAGGCCTTATTAGGTTTAACTGCACTTGTAGTATGAAGTATGGACCTTTTTACAAAACTTGTGAGTCAAAGTTTGTGAATTTCGTACTGATACATTTCCTTCCTCCTGTTTAGAGTGAAGTTGTGTACTGTGTGTGGCGATCCCTACAATGTGGAGTTACCTCTGGCTCCTCTACTGAACCACCAGTGCTGCACTGCTGCTCCAGAGAAGCCATCCACACTCATTGTGGAAACTTTCTTAGGTAAGTCACCACTCCTGGGTACGGAAGTATTGTTTTGGGTGACCAAGCTGTGGGTTTGTGTACTGTAATTCACTTTATGTTCAAAGCAGCAAAATTTTATAGCCTGAGAAAAAAATGGAGGTGTTCACGGAACTATATGTTCACAGTGGCGGCAGTTGCAGGAAAAAGAAAGTAGGTGATTGATTTGTTAGCAGCAATGATAAGTTTGCGATGCAGAAGTGATCGTCTGGGCAAAGGTTGACAGTACTTGGGGGTGGATTGACAGGCAGTCTTAGTATCTGGCCAAGAAGCCAGCAGTAATTTGAGATCTACTTGGGGGAATTCAGGAAGTCTGAAATCACTGATTTCTTGTAAGTCATATCTTAGAGTTGATTCCCTAGAAGAGTCTTGGTTTTCTTCTTGAGGATTGGATGTCCAAGATGTCTTGTTAATTAAGGGCACATTTTGTCAAATGATGGAAAGACAGATGCTTTTTATTTTGTACCAACTGTGACACAATGTATTCTGCAGGTTCTTGCAAGAGAAGAGTGGAGCTGAGACTAACATCCTTTCACTCAGCGCAGAAGTACAGAGATGAACTTGTCCATGGGTACATTCTGGTCTACTCAGCCAAGAGAAAGGCCTCGCTGGCAAACATCAGGTAAGTAAGGTGGAAGGAAGAATTGTGTAAACGTATTTGTGTTTACTTTTCTTAGAAACGTTGTTGAAGGTCAGGCATCCATGTGATGAGAGACGTAAGAAATTGTTACTCAAGCAACAGTTACTGGAAAAAATTTGAAAACTCTTTTTTGTCAGCGACTAACAGAATCTTAAAAATTCTTGGAAGACCAAGATAAAGGCTTACCAATGTGAATATCAAAGACAGTCTACAATACAAGTATTCTTTTGTATGGTGTTCCCTTTTGCTTGATAATTGATAATACCAATTTGGAGAATCCTATACCATTAGCATAGATATGCTTGCCATGTTGTTTACAAGTGTATCACTTGAGTAGTACATAAACAGATTGTTTACTGTAGGGAGTGCCTGCCAATCAGAAGCATTCCTGTGCCAAGAGATGTTTGTAAGCATACAGGAAAAACAAACAAGTGATAACTAGGGCTTGATCATCTGTGGATTTCCTTTGTACAGCAATTTGCCATTTTGTTCTTTTGTGGCCGAGCTTTTCAATAAAACAGTAGAATATAACACATCTGAAGTTGACAATATTAGCCCATCTAGATGTAAGGTTGCTGAGATATGGGAATTACCCGGTAGTCGGGAATTAAACTGGAAGTCCAGAATTAAACTGGAGGCTATGAACAGTAATTCAATAATTTTGCTTTATTAAAGAAATACACCTTGTGTTTAACTTGTTTGCAGAGCTTTTGCGTCCAGTCTGAAAAACGTGCCAGTCCACATCCTGGCTGTGACGGAGAGTGGCAGCGTGAACGCGTTCTTCACCAACGACGTGGAACAAGTCCTGATCACGGAGGGTAACGCCCTGGCCGACATGCTGAGCGCCAAGTTCAGCACAACATCCTCACAGTTCCAGAAACAGAGTAAGTGTGGACAGTGTGGTGTCAGTGTGTCTTGCGAGCATTAGATCTGGGTTTGATTCCTGGCCACCCTTTTTTTTTCATTTTTACTTAGGCCACACCAATTCAATTTGTTGGTTTACAGATTCGCCTGCTTCATTTTTTCAGAATTGCCAAAAAAAAAAGATTTAGGTTCTGTATCAACTCCAAAATACTCATGGTTGAAGAAAGCTCCCTGCCTTCCTAGTTGGTACAGTTTATTCATCTATCAATACATTAGTTTGATAAAAAGTTTAAGATTCATGATTTTGAATGTTTGAATTACAAATGGTGGGAAGAATTGTTTTGTCACTTGTTTGATTCTCTTGCAGCGGCAGTCTTCACCCCCTTCTTCAAGGAATGCTGGGAGAAGAAGGAGAGCACGGAGACGGCGTACAAACGCCAGCCGTCCTCGGAAGACGAGCCCACGGACCGCGAGGTGTGGGACAGCACGTTTGGCAGGGTCCGACCCCCGGCAACTCTACCTAAACCTTCCCGAGTACCCCTGCCAAGGTATAGGGACATTTTCATATCTTTTGTTTGTTCAGATTGTAGGTAGAACCCTTATGGCACAAATAAGGCAGAAGAGAATTATTATTTGTTGTTAGTTATCTAAAAATTTTGTAATGGACATCATGAATATTCTGTTGTGTTCTCCCCACAGTTATGATGAAGCCCCACAGAACTACAATTCAGATGAAGAGCCGCCTCCGTACAATGGTTAGTACTAGTAGTAGTATACGGCTATAAGTGACACAAAACACTGGGTTTCTGCAGAAAATGATGGACTCGTTACATTCAGTATCTTTTCTGATGTTTCTGATTTTTTTTACTTTTAGTCACAGGATTTTTCTCGCAATTGAGTCTCACATCTTGTGAGTTATTCATACTGTAGTCACATAATTTTTTTATTATTATTCTGTGTTTGTATCCCCTTCCATTCTTCCTTTTTACTCTTTTGGGGCATCAGGGGCCGTTTCTGTGGAAAAGCTCAACTTTATTAAGTGTCTGCATTGTTCAAGACACCAAGGTGAATAAAGGATATGAACCTAAAAATCTGTTGTCCTATTGCTTTGCTATGTTTGCCAGAAGAAAATTTAATTGGTGGTTTTGTGTCTTAGGCAACTTTAACTGTACACTAACTATTGCATCACACTTGCAACAAACACTATTGATACACATATAGTGGCAGTCTTTAGTAAAGGTAACATGGAAACGTTGCTTTTGTTCCAGGGGAAGGTTACCATGACAACCATCATGAAGAACACCTCCTCAAGCCCAGCCAGGTCCGAGACCGCCAGCAACAGGGCAGAGGTCAGGACATTCACCTTTAACCTTTAACCCCTGTGCTTGCCACCCACAATACATGTCCATTGGTCCAATCACAGAGCACAACAAAAATACAGCTCTTGCTGTTTTAAACTGTACATATTCCAATTCAAGGGTTAATTTGTTTGTCCTTACTAAAGCTGTTATTTTCCTGTTAAAGTGAGAAAACTCAATTTGGTTCTGAAATTCCTTTATTTATTAGTTCAGCTCACAACAACATTTATTGCCTATACATATTTGAAATGTTTGCTGAATCATTGAAAGTTTGTGTCCAATACATACCTTTACACTGCCAAATGCTTTACATGGTTGGAAGTATACATGATTCTGTCCAATCCTTTTCTTATACTTTCTGTCCTTCTGATGACTTTAAAACATCTTTGGGTATGATTGAGTGGTATTGTATGAATGAGGTTGATGTGATTTTGGATTTATTATTATTTATTATTAGTTTTAGATTGATTATAGATTAGTATGATATTGATTGAGGTTTCAGGTTTGTATGGAATTAGGGTTATGACTCAGAATATGAGCATTAACAACATAGAATTTCAATGTGACAGGTTTCTTTGATTGTAGAGATGTGTATTCTGTCCATCATGTGAACCAGCAAATGTATTTTCTGACATAATTTTGTCAGAAGCATCATTGTCATCATTATTAACTTTCATACATGTATTAACCTATGGTATATGATACTGTACACCTGTCTCTGTTATTTGTTCCATATTTTGCGCTGTCCTTCTGAAACTGAAACCCCTCTTCTCATTTTTTCTTCTCTCCCTCTGCCCACCACCCCTCTACTGTCAACCTTCCCACAATCCTCTACTTCTCTGCGGACCGTTCCACTGGGAGTACAGGGGAGGCAGCTCACTACCGGTTGGAGGGGTTCCGCTCCCCACGACGGCCCCCTCCCCGCTACCACTCTCTACACCACTCTCCCTCTCTAGCCAGGGTTAGGAAAATGCACGGTATGTTACTTCTCAGAGAAATACGAAAGATATCTGTGTGGTCAGTGTTCTAGCCAGGCTTTGATAGAAGAAAAATGAATGTGGAACTTGTGCACTGCCTTCGTATTTGCTTTTACGTTCCAGACAAAAAGTTTATATTTCTCGCAAGATGAATTTGCATTTGAAAAGAAAAATGTGAACTTCTTGTGCACAATTTTCACAACAGACAATAAGAGAATACTGTATATTGTCTCACTCCTATTCTCTGCTTAGTCTTTCCTACCTTCCAGTTTCTTAACTGCGTATTCAACAATGTTAGTGCATATCAGCAATTGGTAGAAAACCTGATGTTTAGTATGTGATATTAACATGTTAGTTTGGTAGAACTGCAGTTTCTGTATTTTATATTCTTCCCCTGGCATTTTAACACTTTTTCCCCATGCCGTACCAAGAAGAAAGGAGCATGTTCCTACTTTTTGAGACTGGTTTTCAGCGTAAGAATGGTACATAACATTTTTGTATATAGCAATCGTATGCAGCAAAAGTAGCCTGTTCTTTCCAAGAGTTTTGAAGTGTTCAATCTGAAAGAATGATCTTTTTGAGAAATGCATATTCTTTGCAGCAGCAGCTATAATTGTAACAGTTCAAGCTTTGTTTTCATAAGTCATTTTCACATGTAATTTCAGATTAATAACTTCAAAATTCACATTAAACAGATGGAAAGTATAGGCTACTATGTTGTGTAGACAAAGGGTATAAGGTTGGAAAGAACATTTGGAAAGTAGATGTCTTGCACTACCTCTACAATCATCTTCTGATCTTTTCTATCATCTCTTCAACACTGAAGGACATTGTGAATTTACGCAGACCTTGTGAGCCACAGATTGTAGCAAAAAGTTGAAAGAAAGGCAATCTTTGGGTCACTTTTCATCTGAAAGGTTTTAAACAAGACTCAGAGGTTCTTAAGATATACCATGTCAATTCTAAGATTTCTTGAAGGACTTGAATCTAATTTTGTATAAATGTATCTTTACAGGTGTAGGATATTGTGTTAAAGACTAACTTTGCTTCTAAGATGATTCCTCACAAGTAGAATGTCTCTTACTTTCAGCAGCTTCCGCTTCCTTCGACCACCCCTCCTATGAGAGTGGGACGGCCTCCTCTACCGTGTGTAGCTCGGCCGCCATTGCATGCCTTGCTACGCTCCCGCGCCCTCCTATCTCCCATAGTGATGGTACTTCCGCTTTTCTTACTAACAGTTACTCTTACTAACTTTTCTGTGTTGTGCTGTGCTGTGTGGTCACTCTTCCTCTTTCATGCTGGATTCAAATCACTTGAATGTTAGAATCTCAAAAGATAGCCTGCATGGGAATTCTTGGGTGTTTTTTGAGATTGTCCTTAAGGTTACAGAAAAACAACTTTGAATTTTGTAGAAAAACAACATTGTCTATTCCTAGTATTTTGTAGAGTGTAGATTCTGATGAGGCTCGTATATCGTATGTATCTCTAAAATGAACAATTCTTTCTCAGTCATGTGTTCATTTTTTATCAGGATTAACAAATTTGGTCAAGCGTACGTCACATGTCAATGAATTATAATATACAATGCATCAAATTTTGGTGTTCTGGCAATATGGTCATGCTATTGGTTGTTAATCTGTTCTCATCATACTTGTTAAAATGTGTGGCTGGTGTCTTTAGTGTTGTAGTCAACGTTATCTTCCTTTCTTCTCATTTCTGCACTTTAACACTTTCTTTTTATTTCTTGCCCTTGCACAGTAGTACTAGGAATGATGTATTATTCTACAAAACATTTTATAACATATTGAGTTTTTTTTCACTCACAAGACTGTACTGTGTCATTGCAGGCTGGATAGACAACAGACTGTACGACAGAACAGCTAGTAGACCAGGTACTAACATGTTTGAATTTTGTAACATATTCAGGGCTTGAAATACTGGCTGCATATGCACCTTGGTATACATGTAGGTAAAATTGGAGCTGTGCAGGTATTCCTGATGTCTACCTGCACCAGTCCATATACTGGGTTTATATACATTTATGTGTCTGTGAATTTTTATTTGCTACATTTACAGTTAGTACTAAAAGAACAAAAAGCAACAGTTTCTGAACAGTTTTAGTACGATCCACACTCACTAAATTTGAGCAGTACAGATAAAATTTGTCTGGTGCAGGTACACTGTATGCACAGAAAGGTATTTCGAGCCCTGAATAGTATTTTGTTAGTATAAAACCTTGGATGATAGTGTAGGTTGTGATTTAACAGTTTTAACCACAAAACATCATTATAACAAAGATATTGTGAACAAAGTGTGGTAGCACATACATGTATGTAACTTTACAGTATGGTATGATAGATCTTTGTGTTTTGCAGACATGACAAGATGGCATGAGAACGTTTTATACAACCAAGTCCGACCACCTGGGAACAAGCCCCTCCCACCTGGACCTAAGCCAATCATCCCAGCAAAGCCGGTACGTACCTGATTAAACAAACAAACAAACAAATAAATAAACAAACAAACAGAGCTGCTGCATCTGCAGAAGTTTAGAGACAGTTGGGATATTTGTAAGGACATTTCAATGATAAAAGTGGAAAGGCAAGACTTGCGAAAATAGATGGTAACTATAAATAATACTAACCATTCTAAAAGACTGACATGCGAAAATAGAAGTAAGGTTCTGAAACAAATCTGTATGATTTTTCATTCATCCCCTATTTAATGTGTAACCATCTGGAATTTAAAAAAAATGAATAAAAAGACGTTGTGTGAGTAAGAGTGGGAAGAATAAATGTGATGTAACAGTCAGTGTTTGAATGTATGATGAATAAATGGTTCCACCGGTAACAAACAGGGTTCAGTTTTAGTCTGCCGTTTCCCGAGCTTTTTAAATGTACTTTTGAAAAGCAACTGTAAAATCTTGTGAACTACCAGTACTCCTTTGTGGCTATTTTTCCCCTCAAAAACTGGTAGTGTGAAGTGTAGTAGTGCACTCAATCAGGTTTCAAAAGAAGGCATTGCTGAATGAGTCTTGAAATCAGAATAATGAAGAAAATACGCTTCTTCCAGTTATCCTCTATGAGTGGTAATGCAAACGTTTTCCTTTTTTTGCAGTGTTTTGTTAAATTCCTTTGTTGTTTTGTTTGCAGCATGTAGGGAAGTTAAACCCGAGACAGTATACCAAAGTGGCCGACGCGGTGTCTAGATTTAATGAACAAAGCAGCTTGACTCAGCCGAGACAAAGGGAAAGACACCCTTCGTATAAGGGCAGAGCTCCTCTGGCTACACCAGAAAATGTGGAAATAGGGGAGTACGCGAGCGTGCGAGACGCCATTCCCAACCTCCAACCGTTGCAGCCTTACGGTCAGCTAGAGTCACCACAGTATGCCTGTCCCCATGACGCACTGCCAGGAGGAAAGGTATAGAAGAACCACCTATCTGTTCACAGTAGTACTGCAGGCTGGCTTGTCAGCCAACTGCAAACATTCCTTCACTTCTCTTCCTATAAATCCTGAAGATCTCTGCACACACAAAAGTATCCATCAGTGCAAAATGGTTAACAGAACATGCTGTGAAAGTCATTTCCGCCAAGGACTGCTTCATTTAAAAATGTCGGGGGATGGCAGAGTTTAAATTTTCTTTTTTTTTTCACCTACAAGAGGACAGAATGAAAGTGATCTGTTTACTAACAGTAGTGGCCTGACAGTACTCAATGAAATAAGTGAACAACTAACATGGAGATTCCCTTTAAAGTTATCCAGTGCAATTTCAATTCAGAGTAGCTGTAATGCTATGCTATGCTATCTTTTAAATACCTTGACATTAAAATGAATAAAGGAAATGTAAATTTTGAAAATATCATCCAAAGGATGACTAACATACTGACTTGATTTACTTCTTTTTACTTCTTTTGTAGATCCGAAAAATTAAGAGTATACGTGGTCAACCTCATGGAACAGACAGACAAGGTAAGCCTTTTTGTTCATAATATGTCTTTCAGATAGTTGACTTGTCCAAACACATTCATGTACAGTAGATTGCAGTATGTGGAAAATTAGTCTCGAGCTGCGAGGAAGATCAGTAGTTCATGAGAAATGTTCAGGTCTGATTCCACAGTATCTTGCCAACTTAAAAAGAATCCATAATTATTGAAGCAAGATGTGTAGATGAAAATTATGCATATTACAGAAAGTTATTAGTTCTCAGTACGTTTCATAAATTATTTTATTGTATATCTCATATCTCATTTATCTTACTGTCATAATATAATCGGTACTTTGGCTAAGTGATGGGCCATCATCACCAAAAGCAAAACTATGGTATGTGACTGTCTGAGACTGTGTGATGTTACTCCCCAGCCACCACAGACAGTGACAGTGAGTACAACAGTTCTCTGGAGAGGGAGAGAAGAGACATCTACAACAAGATGAACAGGAGACCCACCCCCAAGAAGACGGGAAAACGGCGAGTACCGGACAACGAGGGCTCCCCTCCGCCGAGCAGAGGACCGTACGCTACCACCGACATCATCAGAAACAGGCCAACTGGTGAGTTCAACTGAACTTTTATTTTGATGTTTGTATATATAGTAGATGTTTTGTAGAACAATGAAGAACAATACATGTGAAGAACAATTATTCTGTGCATGATGTACAAAATGACTAATACATGTATTAATAAACTGGTGGACGTATACGTATCAACTACTACTGTAAGTACCTAATACCAGCTCAGGAAAGAAAAAGAAATAGTCATGCCTTCAAGTACCAGAGTTATCAACCTGTGGCTACTCGAAATTTTGTCACTAAATTCAGACTTATTGGGTTTGACTACTTTTTCTGAGACAGTAACAGATGAATGATACCACTTTTTCTGTATTGTGTTGGTTTTGTGATATTAAGAGGAGAGTGGTTTTCTTTTTGTCTATGTGGAGAAATTGGCATGTTTTGGCCTCTTCAAAAAGGTCCTTCCTTTCATGATCACAAATAAGATGTGTTTCATCTTCCATCCTCCAGGAACAGGGAATTCGCCATCAGACGACAGTGCGGGTACTGGTGACGAGTTCCCAAAGAACGCTGGGCTGAAAAAGAAAAAGTCCTTCCGAAAAGGGACGACCAAGCGAAGAGACGCCACGTCCCCTCAGACATCTGACACTGACGCCATCTCACCAAGACCAGGTAGAGTCCCAGGATGAAGTCATCAAAAAAATCAATCATGATTGGCTGTTGTTTGTTGAACAGCTTGTGTTTTGGCCAATCAGAAAGTTTCCTATGATCATTGGCTGTTGTTTGCTGAGCAGCTTGTTTTTTTGACCAATCAGAAAGTTTCCTATGATCATTGGCTGTTGTTTGCTGAGCAGCTTGTTTTTTTGACCAATCAGAAAGTTTCCTATGATCATTGGCTGTTGTTTGCTGAGCAGCTTGTTTTTTTGACCAATCAGAAAGTTTCCTATGATCGATCATTGGCTGTTGTTCGCTGAGCAGCTTTTTTTTTTTTTGCCAATCAGAAAGTTTCCTGTCATTGATGTGATTGGCTAATGCCTTCAACGTTTTAGGAAAAAAATGTTGAAGGCTTATTTGATTTGATTCAAATTTGAAATCAAGCTTTAGCAAATTCTCAAAATTTAACTTAAATTTCTACAATTTTTTTTTGGTGGTAGCAGGTAAAAAGATGATAATTAGGATCACAGCTCTGTTTTCTAATCCTCTTAATGTTTTGTTGGACTAAGCCCCACTAGATCTAGCATCTAACAACTACTAGTTAGAGTTTTGTGTCTGACATATTAATTAGATTATTAGCTCTAGTTACTAATAATTTCCTTTGATAACTGTGTGTAGATGTACACCAGTCTGAAATAAAGGTAGTTTTGATCTTGTTGTAGTTGTCCTTTGATTTGGAGTGAAAGTTTGCAGTGTGTATAATCCCTCTCTTCACTTTCTCTTTCTTCACTTCTCACATGTGTGCATGAATTTGTCTGTGACTGTGAGTTTGTAGTGTGTTGTCCTCTCTCCAATGAGTGTCGCTGATACTTTGTGCTCATCCAATAACATCCTCTCTTACATACTTGAACAACCAAGGCCACATAGGCCTTGGCTGGACAGAGGCAGATACATACAGTTGTTCAGCCAAGGCCACACATGCCATTTGTAACCCTGCATGATGAGTGATGATTGTCCAAGTCTACATTACATACCGTACACATGTTAATAACAAACAGTTACATACTGCATAGAAAATTCATCCCAATGTACTCTTTTAAATTTATTCAAATATATTGTTTAAATTTATTTTTCTATGCCTTTTTGATATGTATTCCCGTACAGCGTTTACCTTGCAGTTGTACCTTGTAAAAAAAGCACTACTGTCAGAAGAAGTCAATGTTGATATTTTTTAAATGCAAACTTAGAATACAAGGTGTTAATTTGCTTCAGATACTTGTAACCAACCTAATTACATAGTATGAAATGTTTATTTTGACAAGCAGTTTTCCATGAGTACATATATATAATTATATATATTTGAACATTTCTTATTTCAGCGGGAAGGTTTGCTCCTGACTCTGCCTACCAGTCAGACGGTGATGACGAAGAGGTAAGGATTTTCTCTTCTTTTTCTCCTTTTAATTCTTTCAAAATGAAATGAAGAACAAGCACAGCACAGAAATCAAAGTGGTTGAACTTATTGTAAT